GTGGCCGAGTGGTTAGAGCGTCCGCCTCGAATGCGGGAGGTCGTGGGTTCGATCTCCGGTCAAGTCATACCAAAGACTTACAAAATGGTACTAACAGCTGCCTCGCTTGACGCTCAGCAATAAGAGGATAGTGCTAGGACTGGTCGGCCTGGTGTTAGGATAATGTGACTGGGTGGGACATCATGCTACATGTCTGCGGCATGATGCCCCAGTGCTAGATATCACTATACACTGCCACACTGCAGACATCGTAGCGATATGACTGAAAAATTGTTAAAGCTACGTTAAAAATTATAAACACCACACACATCTATAAAAAGAAATCCCTCACGGAACTTGGAGTCCATCAGCTTGTGGTAAGGGAAACGATAGAGCACCGAATTCAAGATTATCACCCGTATTTTACATCCAAGTAAAGAAATATTTCTTTTTCAAAGTTACACTTTAACTGGTGTGTTATAAGTTGCAAACACGACAGAGGTGAAGCAAATGATGTATGTATATACGAGAATCGAGGAATGGAAAATTATGCGAATGACTTCGCTTTTTTTAGTTCGAATATCTTTGAAATTCTCTCTCTCTCTCTACACAAACACACACACACACACAGACACACACATTATATAGTGATCTAGATTTTTAACGTAGCTTTAATGTAGCTTTAACAATTTTTCAGTCATATCGCTACGATGTACGATGTCTGCAGTGTGACAGTTTACTGTAATATTTAGCACTGGGGCATCATGCCGTAGACATTTGGGATGATGTCCCACCCAGTCACATTATTATCCTGTCACCAGGCTGACCAATCCTAACACTGGTCTTTTAATGCTGAACACCTAGCGAGGCAGTTGATAGAACCATTTTGTAGAAGTCTTTGGTATGACTCGACCGGGAATAGATAGATGTAATTCTGATAAAAAGCCATGCAGGCTTGTGTAATGGCACACAATGACTTGATAAATTAAACTGCAAAATATTAAAATTATCGTTTACTTTAATGGTATTACTAATTTTGGCTACACACATTTCTAATCTACACAAATGTACAGCTGAGTCTACCTTAGTCCAACGATCCCGTACACAGTCTTCTTAATCATCTTCTAATATTATGCTGGGTTTCTTCCGGTACACAACAGTAATTTTGTACACACATGCGAAGGTTCGTCTTTGCTAGTAAATGTTCCGAGGTGATAATCCTATCTACACCTATCTATTTATAGCCTAATTAAAGTCGCCTTCGCTCGAAAGGGCATGTGTGACTGGTTAAAGCCTGCACAGAACGCTGTTTCATTATTCATCGGGCAAGGAAGAAGAACCACATCCCCTCGTGTTTATGCACATAAGGCGTGTTGTTTATTATGTTACACTGGACCTATGAATGGCGAGAATAGAAACACGCTTGCCAATCACTTAACTCAGTCCGCACGAACTGCGTTCTAATTATTTGCTCGTGGGGAGCGGGATTAGAGACAAACCCTCCACGTTATATTTCTTGAGTAGAGCGGAATTGGAGCACACTCTCCTCGCATTTCTGCGGGCAATGAACGCTGTTTAACTGATGTCCGTCCGAAGCAAGGGAGGTGGGTGTGGTGGTTGGAAAGTAGTTCAGATACACCAGGTTCATGGCCTAAAGTTTGTCATCTAACAATTTTGTTTTGATTGAGTTAGAAGAGACTAGGATACCTTTGATGACAGCTATGTTGGGTTCTTAATCTACGTCTGCCACCTAGTGTGTCTGGCCCTGATAGTGCTGGACCTTTGATCACCTTATATGAGGCCATTCATGTTCCTTAGAGCTAAATGTTTAGTTGCTGCTTTGTATTGCTGGGCCTGATGGTTTTTGATCACCTTAGAAATAATTATTTTTTTGTCTTATTTGTAGTATCTACACCTTGGCGGATCGAATAGATATATTGGTGCTTTGTGCTAGTGACACCTATTTGATTTCATGAGTTGCCTCCCTTAGTATGTTATGTCAACTAACCAATTGCGTGGTGCATTGTGCAACGGCCGAAAATGGTGGAGGTAAATAAAGCTCAGAAGTATACTTTGTAAGTTTAATATCGAAATTATGTCTATGTATCAAAGGAAATCTCTTAAAGTTATTTTGAGTTTAATATATTTGTGCAAACACGGACCAGCAGTGAAAAATTGCTTATTTGTGAGTCAATTCAAGCTGTGTGCTTCCCATTATCTTGATCATGTAGGAACAGTGTTCAAATTTGAACAACTCTGTTTTGATTGGTTGCAGTGGTTTGCCTCCACATCCAATGAAATTCATTCATCCGAAGCACATAAGGTCTCAATGGATAGTTTCGTATTTTGACAACCCCTAATTTTTAAGGTAGAAGGCATGAGCCTAATTATCACGATCCTAGCATTTATAAATTCACGCAAAATCTAAATCAGTAAGGTGGTTTAAATATACATTAAGATATACTTGAAAAAGGGTTGGCTTTTTGGTGTCTACCTGTCACAGTTAGACTAGAATTGGAGATCAAATGCGTAACTTGGGCTGCAAATGAGCAGTCGACTTGGCTTACTTATTTACATGTATCTGCTACAGAGGTAAATATCTAAAAATCTACATGGTTGAGGGATGATGAAAGGTGTGCTAATTTTTTTTAGTTCTAGTGAACTTTAAAGATGAATAATGTACATACAGAATCTTTGAGCCGCCTTGTCTCAGGAAAATGTTCAAAATAGCTCTTTTCTGTCAAAATAGAATGTAATACAGAGGGGATGGTAGTAGTATCGGTCCAGTATAAAAGCCACTAGTTGCATAAGAAATTAACCTTAATAACTCAATCAGAATCATACAAACATCCTTTCAACAAAAATCATTAGTTTTATTTGTATCTTTAATGTAATATTATAATCATGTTTCTGCAATAGGCCATCGTAGGATGAAAATTTGCCCCAAAACAACTGTCCAGTGAGACCTAAATATCTGGTTAATATGCCCAGGAGTAGACATGGTTATCACAATGGAAGCTTGGCTAGCTAAGATGGGGAAGGTTTGTATTGTTACGAAACAAAGGCTCGTACTCAGTAACAAAGAAAAGAGTGAAAGCCAACAAGCTTTATAAATTTTAACAAAACGATTTATTTCCCCAGACAACAATATAAAAATTTATAAATAGGACTTACAATCTGTGAATATAATCCAAATATGATTCTAAGAATAAAAACACAAGTACTATCACTAAATAGTCTTATAAGAATCCAGGTTATAGTCCCGACCACGTATGAATATGGAGGACAATAACGTAGATATTGTTCAATATATGAGTAACAACAATTTCTCTTTTGAATCAGTCTTTTTTCCGAATAATTCTAGATATAATTTCCTTGAATATCTTTCAGAATTTGTTTTATAAAAAGTCAACTTGTTGAGTGTCCAGGAAAATAAATTATTGAATCCAAAAATCAGACGAAGATTAAAATATTCTGGCAACAAATTTAAAATAAATACATAAACACACCTTTTTCCTTCAAGGTTTTGAATGACTTTGGCAAAACCAATATTAAAAATGACAAATTTATACTCAAAGCATCACTTCAAATCTCGCGAGATTGGTCATGTGGTCTCTTATTACAGCATTTATGTCACGTCCGCCAGTACAGACCAACTTAAAAACCAATGATAAAAATAGGTTGTTTACAAACGATGATCATGTGAAGAAAGTATGCCCGTGATGCTGCCCAATCATTTTAACTTCCTCTTGATTTTGTTGCCAAGGTAAGACGAACTCAATGTCATTTCTTACGTATTACTATTTCGTCTTAAAAAAAGTTTGTGCTTAAATTATATCTCACTACTAAAAATAGAATCCCGAATCCGAGAAAAATATTTATTGGAATTAAATACAATGAAACAAAAATTAAATAAAAATAATTTTAAACCTTACAAACAAGCAATTTAATCACATATACGTAACAGTATTTACAGGTTAAAACCAGTGTAAAACTATGATACAACAGATTTGTCTTTTAATAAAAATATAATTATATAATTTATACACCTCTTGATATTATGTGCCAATTTCATTATGGTGCTTTCGTCCTGATATCATGTGCAAACTTATTTATATGTAGTACTTTAGTCGTGACATTATATTCATTTTTCTTTATATGCGTTGTTTTTGTCCCTACATTATGTTTAAGTTTCTTTATATGCGTTGCTTTTGTCTCTACATTATGTTTAAGTTTCTTTATATGCGTTGCTTTTGTCCCCACATTATTTTTAAGTTTCTTTATATGCGGTGCTTTTGTCCCGACATTATGTTTAAGTTTCTTTATATGCGTTGCTTTTGTCCCTACATTATGTTTAAGTTTCTTTATATGCGTTGCTTTTGTCCCTACATTATGTTTAAGTTTTTTTATATGCGGTGCTTTTGTCCCTACATTATGTTTAAGTTTCTTTATATGATGTGCTTTTGTCCGGACATTATGTTTAAGTTTCTTTATATGCGTTGCTTTTGTCCCTACATTATGTTTAAGTTTCTTTATATGCGTTGCTTTTGTCCCTACATTATGTTTAAGTTTCTTTATATGCGGTGCTTTTGTCCCGACATTATGTTTAAGTTTCTTTATATGCGGTGCTTTCGTCCTGATGTTAATTATGTGCAATCTTCCTTATATGCGGTGCTTTAGTCTTTATGTTATGTAGTGACACAAAAACAGTTATAATCGGTCTAAACTTCCTTATATTCAGTCTAAAATTCATTATTGTGATAAGCAAAGTCGGGACTTTTGTAGAAGAGCGAAGGGGGATATATTGTCTTGCTGTACTTGTACATCACACTCTAACCATGGTTTGTTGGTTTGCTCAACAAACTTTCAGCATGAAATATCAGACTGCTCGACAGTATAAACTGGTTGCCCAAGAAAAAAAGACTCGTGATGCAATTCAAAATATTTATTTTAAAACTTGTATGTTGAAAACCATTCGTTGTTTCTGGGTTTTCAAGAATACAAATAATCGATTTTCGGGTAATAATGAATCAAAACTTGTTGCCCAGTCGGGCGTTGTCTGGAGATCACATGGATGCCGCATAAGTA